CGCCGAGTACCGCGCTTCGGCCTCCGCGTACTCGCCCCTCTCGAAGTACGCCTGAGCGAGTGCCAGGGTTGCCTGGCTTCCTTGCCCTCGCTGCCTTTCCATCACTGTCGATGGCTTAGTTTTCGCTGAGGAAGGGGTATCGACGTCAGAACGACTAAAACCACTTCGGCGACTGGGTGTTTACCTTTGCCCACAAAACCGGCGCTACAAAAGGGGGAAATTTGTGCCTTCTAAGGATCCGTCTTCTCGCGAGAAGCTAGTCCGCTACCGGCGTAGTGCGGGACTTCCGGATACGCATAGACCTTTCGGAGCGTTCGTCTTACGTTGGTGCTGCCTGCTGCTTCTCTAGAAGAGCAGCCGACGGGTGGGCCCCGTGGCTTCCAAGTCTGTGTCAATTGTCGCGAGGCGCTTGCTCTTTGTAACCGGCGCTGGTTGTGTTGGAAGAGGAAGAAGCAAACCACACAGTGCTGTGAATTAGGAGTCCTGAGTAGTCTGTGACTACCCTGAGAAGCTTCGCGCTCGAGTCTCGTGAGCTTTGCTGTAGCTCGGCCCTCGGATTAGTTCCAACTCCGTAAATGGCAACTTAGCCTTACTGACCCACCGTGACGGTAGCATACTCTGTAGAGTCTGTGGGCTTTGATATTAACTTAAATTCTCTGTTCGTAGCAGAGAGAAACCCAAGTAGTAACTTAGTAAGTACATTGTGTAATCCAAATTAAAAAGGGAAAAATAGCTTTGTTAAGTAGCTTACACAGTACTACTCGGTGTCTTAGGTCCCTCGATTTTGTTTTACTTCTGAAATTACTTGAGCTCTCAAGAAAAAGTAAAAATGAAAAATATATATATAGGAATGACCTTTAAATGAAAGGCTTCAATACTATATAAATTGTGTGCTTTTTCTTTTTCGTTATTTTTCATTGACTACGACTGCAAAATACAAATATAATACACTGACAGTTAAAACACATTCATAGAAATTACCGGATTGGCAAGATTACCACCAAAAACAGAAAACTAAAAGGTTTAAAATTCTCAGAACCCAAACTTTGATAACCTACATCTATCTGCCTAGCACTGAATGACTAAAAACAGCACAGGTTCAAATACAAATATCACCCTTTTCTTCCTTGAGCTATAATGATGTATCTTGCTCAAAAGGTTAAAACATATAGATGTCCTTATCCAAGTCTAAAATGCCTTAAGGATATTACAACCCAATCTACAAATATATGGAGGATTCTAAGAGTGTACTGTGAAGAACCATATGCCAAAATCTGGGTAACTAGATGAAAGGGATAAATTCCTAGAAACAGAAAACCTACCAAGAAAAAGTTCCAGACCAGTGGGCTTCACTGATAATTTCTATGAAACATTTAAGGACGATCCAACACCAATCCTCGAATTTCAAAACTTGAACAGATGGAACACTTCTGGCTTATTCTATAAGACCAGTGTTGCTCTGATACCAAAGCCAAACAAAGGCACTAGAAGAAAAGGGCAGGTCAGTGTCCCTTGGGATATTGATGTGAAAATCCTCACTAAAAGACTAGCAAGTCAAATTAGTAGCTTAAAAAGAATACAGGACTGGAATTTAGTTCAATGGCACCACTGCAAGGTCCTGAGTTCAATCCCCAGTACAAAAAATAAAGAATTATATCCTATGACCAAGTGGAAATCATTTCTGGAATTTGAGGATGACTCAACATATGAAAATAAATGTAATATACCGCCTTGGTGGAATAAAAGAAAAAAACGTCATGGTCATCTCACTGGATATAGAAAAACCATTTGATTAAATTCAAAGATCCTTTGATGATCCAAAAAAACACAGCAAGCTAGGAATAGAAGGAATCTACTTCAACTTTAAATGCAAGTCATATATGAAAAACCAGTAGTCAACACTAATGAAAGACTGAAAGCTTTTCTTCTAAAATCAAGGCAGCTCATTTTCTCCACTTCTACTCAACAACTGCTGAAATTTTAGAGCAATCGGGAAAGATGAATAAATGAAAGCCATCCAAACTGGGAAGGAAGACTTACTATGATTTCTGTTCACACATGACATGCACTAATACATAGGTACCCTGAAGACACATTCACACATAGAACTATTGAATTAATCCAACAAAGTATCAGGATACAAAAATCAACATGCAAACAGCTGTATTTTTACACACTAACAATGAACAACCCAGAAAGGAAATTAAGAAAACAATTATATTCAATAACATCAAGAAGAATAAAATACTATGGAATTAACCAAAGTGGTGAGTGACTTGTAAATGAAAAGTACCATATACTTGTTGAAAGTAATGAAAGAAAACAAACAAATGGCATGCCTTCTCACTGGATAGTTATAGGCTAGAAAACTTAATGTTGCTAAGATGCCAATACTAGCCAAAAAAATCTACAGCTTCAACAGAATCCCTATCAAAATCCCAATGACATTTTTGCAGTAATAGAAAAAATCCACCCTAAAATTTATAAAGAATTTCAAACAAGTCTGAAAAAGAATGAAATTAGTGGACTGACTTATAATTGCAAAAGTTATTAGAGAGCTACAGTAGTTACTTTAAAAAATGGTGTGGTACTGAAAGGAACAGTCCTTATCAAATGGTGCTGAGAAAACTAGATATCCACGTATAAAAGAATGAATTGGGAGGCTTACTTTATATCATACAAAAATTAACTCCAAATAGAACAATGACCTAGACAAGAATCCTTAAATTATAAACATAAGGAAAAGATTTTGCCACATAGAATTGGCAGTGATTACTTGGGTATCACACCAAAGGCACACAGCACAAAGAATATATGTCAGTACAACAAATTTTTACTTCCTGAAAACTGAAAACTAAACCTAATGCAGAAATGGGCAAAAGGCCTGCATGGGATTTTCTCCATAGAAAATACACAAATTACCATTAATTACCTGAAAAGACATCCAGTATCCTAATCATTGTTTTTTAATTACATCTTAAATTTTATTGGCTAACATTGGTTTTAGAATTTTTATAACTTCTTGATTCAGTTTTGGTAATTCATATGTATCTAGAAATCTCCATTGCTTCTGTATTTTCCATCTTATTAGAATACAGGTTGTCAAAGTAGGTATTGATCTTTTGGATTTCTGTTGTGATTTAACCCTTTTCCTAACTGCATGGATTTGAGTATTTGGTAAGGTTGGCTAAGTCAATTTTATTTGATCTTTCAAAGAACTAACTTCAATTTATTTTTATTGTTTGTTAGTCTCCATTGCATTAATTTCTGCTGATTTTTCTAACTTCCTCTCGTATGGCCTTCGAGTCTGACTTGCTCTTCTTTTTGTAGAAGTTTGAGGTTCAACAGTAGGCTATTTAAGCCTGCTATGTTTTTCTGATATGGGTATTCATTGCTATAAATTTCCCTCGTAGGGCTGCTCTCATTGCATCCCATACATTCTTGTATGTTGTACCATCATTATCATTTCATTGTAGAAATGGAGTTCTTCTTTAATTTCATCTGTGAGCCATTGTTGTTCAGGATGGTGTTAATTTCCATATATAAAGTTCCTGTGGTTTCTTTTGCCATAGATTTCCAATTTCATTGAACTATGGTCTGATAATATGCATGGGACAATTTCAATTCCTTTGTATTTACTTAAGCATGTTATATGAGCTAGTATGTGGTCTGTTTTGGAGAATGTCCCATGTCTAGCTGAGACAAATGTGTATTCTGATGTGTGCAAAATACTCCGTAGACATCTACTAAGTCCATGTGCTCAAAAGTCTGGTTCATTTCTAAATATGTCATTGTTGATTTTTTGTCTATCTGTGATAGTGAGGTACTGAGGTCCCCCCATTACAACTGTATTAGTGCTTATATGATTTTTCATGTCCATGAATATGTTTTATATAGTTGGGTGCACTGCTGTTTGGTGCATACATATTTATGATTGTTATCTCTTCCTCTTGGATTGTTCCCTTTACGAGGATATAGTAAGCTTCTTTCTCTTAATCAGTTTTGGCTTGAAACCCACTTTGTCAGCAAACAATAACTACTCCTGCTTTTTTTCCAGGTTCCTGTTGCATGGAATATTGTTTTCCCTCCCTTGACTTTCAGTCTATGAATTTTTGTTGTTGTTTTTGGTTTGTTTTTGTTTTGCTTTGGTTTTTTGAGACAAGGTTTCACTATGTAGTTGAGACTGATCTGGAACTCACTATGTAGCCCAGGCTGGTCTCGAATCCACAGCAATCCTCCTGCCTCAGCCTCCTGAGTGCTGGAATTATAGGCATGTGCCACCATGCCTGGCTTTATGAATTTTTTTAGTTAAATGTGTTTGTTGTAGCCAGCATATTGTTGGATCTTGCTTCTTAATCCATTCTGCCAGTGTTTCTTTTGATTGGTGAATTGAGACCATTAACATTGATAGTTATAACTGATATGTACTGTCTTATCTGTGTCATGTTATTTCCCTGTTTTTGGCTTCCTTCTTTTCTAATTGCTTGCCTTGCCCAGTGGATTCATTCTGTTGGGGTTCACAGAGTTGTAATCCTTGTTGTCTCTTTCTAGAACATCCTTCAGAACACTAGAGTGCTAGAGCAATGATTTACCTCAGTGGTTTCTATGCCTGCCCTGGTATCAAAACAAAACAAGACAAAAAACAAATTTATCATATAGAACACTAGAGTGCTAATTTGATGGTCATGAATTTCTTCAGGCTTTCTTTGTCGTGGAACTATCTTACTTCTCAATCAATTTTTGAAAGATAGGCAAAACTACACTCAGATAACACCACTCCATCTGTTAGAATGGAGACTATGCTTTAAAATAGAAAAAATACGAAGTGTAAGGAGGTAACAAAATTGTGTATTACTGCTGGGAAGGTAAAATGGGAGCCACAGGAAAACAGTGTGATAGTTTCAAAACATTAAAAATTAAATTATCACATTATTCAGAAATGGCACGTTGGAGTATATACCCCAAAATTTAAAGCAAGGTCTTAAAGAGGTATCTGAACACCTATGTTCCTAACAGCATTATTCACAATAGGTAAAATGTGTTCACAACCTAATTGTCCATCAACAAAATGTACTCTATACACATGCAACAAAACTAAAGGAAGAAAGCCTCAACAGAAGAAAATTCTAATAACAATACAACACAGATGAACCCTGAGGATGTATTATACTAAGTGAACTAAGCTCATCACAAAAAGACTCATCATTCTACTCGTAAGAGGTCCCCATAGTGGTCAAATTCATAGAGACAGAAAAGAGTGGTAGTTGCCTGGGCTACAATGAAGAACAGAGCTATTTCATGGATACAGAGTTTTAGTTTTTGCAAGATGAGAGTTCTGGAAATGGATGGTAATGATGGTGGTGATGTACAACACATGTAGTTCATACTACTCTGAACTATACAATGAAAATGGCTCAGATAGTAAATTTTATTATAAGAATGCCTTAACACATTTTCTATGGCTATACCAAAATACCTGAAGCAGAGTACTTCTCAAAGGAGATTTATGTAGCTCCCAGTTTTAGAGACTGCAGGTCCAAGACTGAGGCAGCTCCATCTGCTTGGCTTTGTAACATGGTAGAGCAGAAGGGAGATAGCAATATGCAGCTTAGGAATAAGATAGTCATGCCCCAAACCTGTACTGGGCATGTGAGTCATTATAAGATGAGAAAAATATATGGAAGGTAGAATAACTGGGAAGAAAAAAAGTCATTAAATGCCAACCTTAAGATTTTCCCTACCACATAGCAAGACCTGGTATTACACAACTCTAAGTATAACTGAGACACTGTTTTGGGCACAGAAAATGACAGAGACCAATGGGGAGAGGCTGCTATATACAGACACACACACACATGTACATACTTGATTTTTTTTTTTTAATGTAACTGCATACCGGAAAAGATGGACTTCAATTAGTGATCTAAATGGTAAAAATTAAATTTGACCCTTACCAAATTCATAGCAATCAGTTCCAAGTAGGTTGAAAATTAAAATTTGAAAAGAGAAAAAAATAAATTATTTTTAGAACCTAGTATATCGTATCTTCGTGACCTTGGGGAAGGAATTTCATAAACATTTTCTCTATTCATACTGACTTTTTACCATTTCTACCATACAGATGGAGTATGAAGATATCCAACTATAATGTAGATGTGTCTATTTCTTGCTTTTAGTTCTGTCAGTTTTTGCTTCACATGTTCAATTAGGTATATTAACTAGAATCATGTCTTCCTGCTGAATGGACCCTTTCATTAATATGCTGTAGTTATCTTTCTCTCTAGTAACAGCCATTGTCTTGAAGTCTATTATTAATAGAACCACAATGCTTGCTTACCCTATTTGCCTGATATATTTTTTCTTATCCTTTTTAACTCTTTTATTAGTACATATTTGTCATACATACTGATCACATTTATCATAGGGAATCTGTACCTGCACAGGATATATCTCAATTTTCGCCCATGCCTTTTCCCTCCCTATTCACAAAAGCTTTGTTTCCATTTTTCCCTCCATTCTTTTTCCTTTTCCCTTCTTTTCCTTTCCCCTCCTCCCTTGTTCCCCTTCCCATCTAAACATGTTCTTCCTGCTTCCCAATTTCTTTCTTTTAACCTGTTTTAAATTTTTAACTTATCTTTTGCTTTTTAAAATCTAATCTGAAAAATGTGTTTAAATTATGTAGTCCTTTTGCATTTAATTATCAATGTAGCTGGGTTTAAGTCTGCCACTTTTCTATTTTCTAGTTGTCTCATCTATGCTTTCTTTTTCTTCATTCCTTTAACTAGATGGTTATTATTGCACTTTTCCTAATTAACTTCATTTTTTATTAACTTTATTAAGGTATGGTTTATATTGCTTTTATTTTTTACTTTAGAGAACCCTCTTAAGAGTTCTTTTATAAAGAGCAGAGCAGTTTTTATTGCTTCACCTGCTGCTTTTCCTTCTCTTAAACTCAACTAAAATAGAAATGCCTTACTTTATTAAAAATAGCAGACAACAGACCCAGGAAGGCCC